TAGCACAAATTATGATAACTGAAACTTAGTGCCAAAGGTGGCACTAAATCAAAGAGAGGATGATGGTGCCCTCAAGTAGAGAACTTCCTAGGATGGGGAAGTGGAGTTGCACCATATATACAATGCAAGGTGTCGGAGACATTTAGGAAATTGACTTTGAGAAGTCAAAATTAAAAATTCCAAAGTGCAAAGGTTATATCGAAAACTACTCGAGAATGAATAGTAGGATTGAGATCAAGAAGGTATCTCTAACAAGTTTAGTGAGAACTAAACCAATAAAAAGAGAGAACCACCACAAGTGGTTGAATGAGCCTCTAAGTTGGAAAGACTATGTTCCTTAGAGGATGGGCAAGGCATGGTGAGCCTTTGGTATCAAACTATTGACGAATATTAACAAGGGACCAAGGATGGAAAGGGTAATAGAAGTTGGTATTACTTTATAAAATAGTTTAACGTTCGATGAAGACATCGAACTTCGTCTATGGGTGGTGGAGTTGTGAGGCACAAAATCCCTAAGCCCCAAAGTGGAGCCGGAAGGGTGCCACGTGGTAGTGGCTAAAGTGAAAGCCAAACAAACGTAACATGTTTGGACTAAAAGCTCAAACTTAAAAGGTCAAGAGCGGGAGTGGAACTCCCAACGAAATGCTCAAGAAACAAGCACGGAGCAAGCAATAAGTGAGTCCCTAGAAAAGGACACAAGAGGACCAACACATGACACATGGCAGAGTCCAAGATGGACCCAAGATGGACCCGAGATGGAGTTCAAGATGGAGTCCAAGATGGACCTGAGATGGACCTGAGATGGAGTCTGAGATGGACCCGAGATGGACTCCGAGATGGACCCGAGATGGAGTCTGAGATGGACCCAAGATGGAGTCTGAGGAGGACTCGAGATGGAGTTCAAGATGGACCCAAGATGGACCTGAGATGGAGTCTGAGATGGAGTCCGAGATGGACCCAAGATGGACTCGAGATGGAGTCCGAGATGGACCCAAGCTGGAGTCCGAAATGGAGTCTGAGATGGAATTGAGACCGAGACCAAGACCAAGATTGAGACCAAGTCCGAGTCCGAGTCCGAATACTAATACAAGCACTTGGGTGAAAGTGAAAGCCCAAAGCGATCGTTCCCCCCGGGGGGGGGGGGGCTGTGGGGGTTTTCACAAGTATAGTGGGGAGAATATGGGGGTTGGAGCCCAGTGGAGCCAGTTTGGGCCAGGAAGGTTGTATCTA